ACCACATCTGCACGGCAGGGGTTGCTCCCACAAGCACTGTCACATGTGGTGTTCTTGAAATTGCGGCGGGGTTGGCCCACTTCCACTGTGACAGAGACCACAGTCCGATACTTCGCGGGCTTGCGGCGGTTGCAGCCATGACGCCCGTCCAGGTGGGTATGATTCTCGCCGCTACAATTCGTTGGTTGCGGTTGAGGGAGCACGTGTCCGTTCTGTCATGCACGTGGTCATCAACGTCGTTGCAATGTAGCGGTTAACAACGATCTTGCTTGTCGTATGCTATCACCATTTGAAGCACACGGGCATTGGAGAAAGGGCTGCGCTTTGGAGAGATCGATGTCGGCAACAATTGTGGGTTCGGTATAGAGCTGGAGGAACATGGGAGGAGCTGAACATGGAGGGTCTGGGACACAAGAAGAAATTCAGGGAGTACACGCGTCTCACGAGGCCACTCTCGACGAAATTCTCCTACGAATCGTGTCGCGGATTCAGCGTATGAACACTCAGTTCCGAGAAGCGTTGCGTACACCCCTGAAGTTGGCTTCCGCACTTACCGATGGGCGACTGGGGACTATTACAAACAGTGCGACAATGACTTAGGTATGGGACTGCAAATCGCAATTCGATGTTCAAACGATGTTATGAGGGCCTTGTCGAGGAGTACGCGCATGTGTTGTCATGGTCGACAGGGGCGCGTATGCAGACGAGGCTTGATTACTACGAGGGAAAAGGTTTCAAGTTTCCAGGTTGTTTCGGTGTGATTGACTATATGCACATCTACATTGACAAGCCACAGGGCAGCGAGGCGGAGGCGTACTTCGACAGGAACAGGCAGTACTCCATCATTGCACAGGTTGTGTGCGATGAGAACCTGTGCATTTCGGAACGCCTCCGCCTCGCTGGTGACACCGTACGGGGAAAGTGAACGAACAACGGACGAGAGATCGTTTGACAACAAGTTTTCCACCTTATGGAGTGCGATCGAGAGGTCTTTCAGTCGGTTGAAAGGAATGTAGCAGTGCTTCGGCCGAAAACACATGGCCAACATGGCGAACGTGTCTTCAATTTTTTGCATGTTGCATTTTGCACAATATCATCACTGATGTCGGTATCCCTGTGGACGAGGAGTTCCTGCGAAGGAGGGGCGAGGAAGAAAGCGGAAAAAAGGACAACGACGACAACGAAGAAGAGGTCGCGGGTATGGACGACAACAACAAAGAAGACGTCGCGGATATGGATGACGACAACGAAGAAGAGCCCGCGGATATGGACGACTTTAGCGAAAAAGAGCCCGCGGATATGGATGATAACAACGAAGAGGAGCTCGCGGATATGGACGATGATGGCACCGATCTTTGACGCGAAGGCTCAATATTGTACGCTAGCCATTAGCATCGGCGGGATGCAGTCGAGGTTGTGCGTGGCCATATCCTGCGCCACACTCTCCATGTAGCTTGTGCGTTCGGGTCGAATGCCGGTGGGCACGGTCCAAAGTCGAAGACACACACACACACACACACACACACACACACACACACAGAGAGAGAGAGAGAGAGAGAGAGAGAGAGAGAGAGAGTGGGAGAGAGAGAGTGTTACATGCCCAGTTGGGCGATGTACATATAAACGGAGGATCCGCAATGTGATAAAAAGGACTGAATGGACAATGCAGTGCAAGTAGAATCTCAACAAGCAATGTGCAGTCCGATACATACAAAATGGTGCTTTATAGCGCAGGGAAGACT